TATCAAAGAATCCTGAATAATAATAATACTAAATTCATAATTTCTGATCATGTGACACTGAAGACTGAAGTAATGATGCTGAAAATTCAGCTAATTTAAATGCTCGTAATATTTATGAAGTGGTTTATATTTATGGTAACTAGGGCTGCACGATTAATCGAATGCGATTGTCATGCGCATTTTGATAGTAAAGCCGGTTCTGTAATCAGCAGTAAATCATCATCACGTGCTTTCAGATGGAGCAGAATTTACTACACAGAGCCGTAGTTCACTGACAAGTTACGCAAAAAAATCGCAGACGATTTTATTGCGCGATTAGGAAATCGAAGAAATCGTTTGCGATAATGACAGCTGTTTGCATAGCTTCACAGTGAACTATGGCTCTGTGAAGTAAATGCTGCTCCATCTGAAAGCATGTGAAAATACCACATTTAATAACATATTTTTACTCCAAACTCACTTCATAACGTCAGTCGAGTGTTTGAAATAAATCCTTCTGTGAGATGATGTGGCTTCTTACACAGAATAAGGCACGCAACATATTTCATAGTATTTAAGCAGTGATAAAGGCATTGCATTATAAATATACTTTATTTTAATGAAAATTATAATAAGAACTCAGATAAACCGTATATTGCCGCAGTCGTGTGTTTATTAGTCACGTTGAATCAATGAAAGCAGCTGAATCTTCTGTTTATTCAGCTGCAACGATAGGCATTTCCTGGGTTTCTTCTGCGAGGCGTATTTAGAGTTTCAGCGCGAGAGCGCCCTCTGGCCTTTGGATGGAGATTTACTGCTGATCACAGAACCGTGCTTCACTGAAAGATACGCATGACAATCGCAGCTTCTGTCGAATCGCGATCGCGATCTCGATTCCATTTCGATTTATCGTGCAGCCCTAAATTGAATCCCAAGCAATATTTAAGCAGTATTTTTCGACTTAAGTAATGAAACACAGAACAAAGTGCTTGTGCACATCCCTATAAGAAATTTGTGTGTTTGTGTACATTCTCACCAATGCTCCACTACTGAGGAGGATCATGAAGATGATGAGGGTTTCAAACCAGTTGTGCTCCACAATGAGATAGCAGGTCTTCCGGAGGAACCACCAATTCTTACCCCAGCCCTCCGTGATGGGCACATCACAACACTTGTAGCGGGCCACACAAGCTGCAAAATGGCACACATTATACTTCTGTTCTCATAATCCATTACAGTTTCTGCATAAAAAAATAAATCATCTGCAAAGAGAAATCTATGAGCCCTTTTACCTTCAGTCCAGCAAGCTTCAGGGTCAACATATTCCTCTACTGCCTCCACCACCACCGCTTCCTCTACCTCTGGTTTAATATCTATAGTGCTGCCTTCTGAAGAGCTGATGTCATCCAACTAAT